CCCCAAAACCCCAAAACCCCAAAACCCCAACGTATAGAGATGATCACATAGAAGAGAATGATTTAAATATTATTAATTAGGACGGAAGAGTCTGTAGTATAATTTAATAGAATATATAATGTCAGTGGCTCCACAGACAGGAAAACGTGTTCAAAAGCTTCTTATAAAAGAGAGAAAGAAGGACAAACAGTAAGCCAAATAGGAGGAAATCAAGGTAGGCGAGTCAGAGCTCGAGATAGATGAGTCAGGTAACAAAACTTCAAAATAACTGACGTAATAGATTATGATTTTTTCTCAGATAATGATGAAAAGAAAAATCAAAAGAAGCGTAAAAGCAAAACCACCTCTAGAAAATTATGGATTCAATCTGTAACGCCCAATAGATATAAACATTGTAGGAGGATGAAGCGATTGAGAAACTGGTGGAGAAATATGGCACAAAGCGATGGACTTTCATCGCCCAAAAGTTAAAAGAAGAGTTCAGAATCAGCGGGCGAACAGGTAAATAATGTAGAGAGAGGTAAGCGAATTTATACCATATCTATTTGGTTTAAATTTAATTCTTAAATCTAGATGGCACAATCATCTTGACCCTGATATAAAAAAGGATCCTATAAGTCCACAAGAAGAAAAAAGCATATTTGAGGCCCATAAAAGATATGGAAACAAATGGGCTGAAATCGCAAAATAACTCCCTGGTCGGTAAGTTAGAATCATTTAATTATGTATCCTATGTTTTTGTAACAAATGAAAAAATAACCTGTATAGTTCCGATAACTGTATTAAGAATTATTACTATTCTACACTCAGAAAACATCTGAGAAGGATCAACAAAAGCCTTAAGTAATGCCAGATAGGTAGGTTCTCCAAATATCCCAAAATCTGAGTTAATTTTAAATTTAGCTAAACGTCTTGGCATAAAAGTTAAAACGCTCACAGCCGAGTATCTTTACACTTTGGTCAGAGACAAAAAGGTTTCTTACGAATCTATCAAAGAGATTGAACCTAAGAAGTTTCAAGATCTTGAGTATACGATGAAGCTGATATTCAATCATGATGAAGAGTTAGTACCTAACTCATTGACTCTTGGGATTCAGCAGCAATAGAGTCAAATATAAATTAATCAAATTCATTAGCAACAGTAGTAACAGTTGCACTAACATTCTCATTAGATCGATTATTCAAAGTAATATTTACCTCCTGTTTATCTCATTGTATAACTAGAAGACGTTCACCAAGACTTACTACTAAAAAGAGACTTAATTATGCCGAGTAATTGTCTAACTTGGACAATATATAAGCCTTGATTACCTTAATCAAGTAGGACAAAGCTGAAAATAGCTTAATTAATGGGAGAAAAAGGAGAAAGTTGGAACTATAATAACAAGATTCTGAAATTGATACAAACAGAGACTATTAGGATATGAACGATATGTTAAGTGATGAAGATAGCTAAGAGAGAAAGATAATCATAGCCTAGCGAGGTGATGGCAAGAGACCAATTAAAAGAACTCCAAAAATGGAAATATACAGCTAATAAGTAGAAGACAAAAAGGAACCTACTTTAAAAAAAAGACTAAAGAAAAAGAATTTTATAAATCCTGGGGGGATGATATCGAATCTTAACAATTCAAATTTGCAAGTATCTCAGCAGTATTCAGAACAGAGTATGTAAGATTAATCCTTACAAAGAAAAGAAAGTATATCTGAAAATGGATAGATCTTTTTATCAACAATAAAGAAGTATTAGCAATAACAGAGAGCAATGACACAGGAAAAACTTAAGTAGCAAACTCAAGTCTAGTTGTAATTGTAGCATCAGTAAGTTTCATAAAGTAGCCAAAACTCTCACCATCCATAGCAGATTGTCTAGACCTTGCAAATCTAAAACTAAAGCTCAAGCTTGAGTATCAATCATGTAAACCAGGATATGGAGATCAAAGAAAAGTAATAATCTTTGTTCTATGGCATAAATCACTTAGTTTTGAATGAAAAGTAAAGCTCAAGCGGTAATTCCATCAGAAATTAGCACTCAATAGCATATAAGCAAGTTATACAGAACAATCAGGATGATCCCATTTTTGGAAACAGTGGTTCAATTCCAATCTAGCATCACTACGGTTTCAGCTATCCTTAGATGAGCCAAACTTCACAGGCATTTCAGCCAAGCTACATAATAACAACATAACCTCAAAAGTAGCCATCAGAATTGCATATGGATTTTCAAAATTCTATCAATTTTTAGCACTCTTAGTCTTAAACTATGAATCCACTTAGACACTAATTTTCATTAAATGACCGACTTATTACTCCATAGGGTACTTAGTACAACATTCATATTGACTCTACTACCCCATAATAGATAATATTCTAATTTCCAGAATAAAGAACAATTCAATCTCCTATGTATCATCTTCCATACAATAACAAAGGTTATCAGCTAATGAGGGAATCACCAAGAGTATAGCTTAATTTTAACAATTCAGGCAGCATGAATACAACCTTTTTTGGAGCTCATGGTCTTTAAAATCAAGTTGAGCAAATGCAAAATTAGCAGTAAAATTAGTAATAGCAGCAGCCATCACATTAATAGCAAAATTAGAATGTCTAGAATCAATAATAGGCTCCTGAGGATCGATAATATCTTTAGAGTTAATTTAAGATTGATGTTTAAAAATCTACTTTTAATCCATCAAACCGAGAAAAGTTCAAGCAACAGCAATAGAATTTCATGCAGCAAAACAATATCACTACTATCAATCTTAATTAAGAATCACCAGATAAAAAGGCAGATTAAAATTAATAATCCCAATCTACTGCTGATCTAAAGAATATACAAATGCAGATGTCAACTGGTGGACCTAGCAGGAAATCCTTTGCTGATGTTATGAAGAAAAAGTCTACTCCATTGTTGAACATTGAAAGTTTACAACCTGAAAAAATCAATGTACCAACTTATCAACAACTGTAGCTCTCTCCCCAAGAATCAATTAGTAGCTAAAATTTCTTTACTTCTAACATTACTCCTTCGCACATTATGGGAGTTAATGGATTGATGCCTTTCTCGTAAATGAGTTCCTCTCAAACAAAGCAAACACCTTTAAATATCTTTGGTGGAAATATTAAAATAGGCAATACCCTTGGCCTTAATGATATGAGATTGACTAGCTAACTCTCTGCCTAAAGCCCAATGAACAAGAATTAATAATGGGTATATCATACCGGATAGCCCAAGTTGATCTCACCCCGTCCATTTGTTAGAGCCTAAGATTTTGGCCAAGGAGCACTCCACCTTGGTGGTTAAATTCAAAGAAGCCCTAATTCAGGTTTTTCACAATATTAAAAGTAGTAGAGCAGTATTCTGACAAAGCCTTAGTAATAAGTGCAATAAAATCAACAACACTCATAGTCAAATTAGTTGATTTCAGACTAAAAGGATAATTAGATACCAACTGCTCATGAAAAGGACTAAATAGAGAGTTAAAACTAACAATGATGGATAAATATTGAGTATTTAATCAGTAATACTTCGGACAATTGCTATAACTTGACTATCTACGACAATTTTAATATTTACTAAAACTAAAAGAGGTTAATATAACTTAAATTTAAACTTAAAAATTTAACCAAATATATAGAAACTTTGAAATTTGGAAATGAGGGGTTTTGGGGTTTTGGGG